GTTTTTCGCGTTGCATTGCTGCAAAAAACGCATAAAAACATAAAATGGACAAAAATTCTCAAGCAACTTGCTGCGACAAGAAAATGGCTAAGCAAAGCACTCAATATTTCTGGTACTAATGTCTTTTAGACAAACATGAATATAGCATTCAGTGACTGAATTAGAAAAATGTTAAAGCAGTGCAAAAATTGTTAACACTTGTGGACAACAGATTAAGCAAATACTGGAAAGGATAACCAAATTGGAATGAGTATGAATCAAAGAATTTCCGAATAGCACCGTTTCATTGCGTAGTATCGCATACGTTAGGACTAATGTTGATCTTTTAGCTGGGAAGATTAATACCTGGATAAAAATATAATATCATATTATCGTAGTACTTAGTTGAAACCGGCGCTGAAAATCAAGCGTGAAAAATAGGGAATCTTGAACAACGGAAAAGAGCTTGAAAATGAGCAAATTTCAAAATTCTAAGCTTTCAAACAGAGTTGTAAAATTTTCACAACTTTTCACTTTTAAGATTTCAATTTTTCTGCGGCAAAGAATTCCAAAAATCAAAAATTTCCAAAAACATTTGCAGTTGGTTACTCATACATTCGGAAGAGCAGATTACCATAAACTTGCCACAACTGAACCTTAATCACGAACCAAAAAAAAGGTCCTTTGACTAGTTTGAATTTGAGTTTTTAGAAAACGAGTGCCGAAGGGTCGGAAGAAACTGCGCAATTGAATTTAATGATAGGGTTTTGAGGTACAAAGCGATACCACGAAATGACTGTAATTAACGTCCGCAAATCATTTTTTCCCGTAAGCAATGTGAACATTTTTGTACACTTTCGAATTTTCTTTTGCCAAATTGAAACGTACCAGGAATGTTAAGACCGCTAGAGCAAACAGTGCTAGTATCCCACTAGTTATATTAGAACGCCAGGCGGCCGGGCGTTACGACCCTGGGCTGCGTACCTTCTCTAGCTAGCATCCACCGCTTGTTCGATGTACATTTATGTCACTTCTTCGGTGCAACCCTAGTGGTCTTTTAAACGTAAGGAATAAATTATTATGGAATATTCGAAGTAGTAATGAGCGACAGCAGTTATTGCATCCGAAAACTTTTCTGAGAAATGTCGCTGGATGATTGTGCCATTTTCTCAACAGTTTCTTTTCAAGTGAAAGTGGCAAAAAAATGTTGCTTTTTAACTGATCCTTAGGGATAACTTTTCTTCGTCATCTAGTTAGGTGAGAGGCAATTATTAGTTAAAACTGTGAAAATACGTTAATTAATTAAAAACAAAAAAAAAATTGGAACAGAACTTGATAAAAAAGTGCTGTTCACATATACGCCTGTTGCTAGTGCATCCGTAATTGAATTCAAGCTCTTAAGCCTGCTAGCAAGTTCTTTTAAGTACATATGCTGTAAATGATGTCTTGGTTCTGCGCTTGGAATTTTAACGTTCCTAAGGTGCACCTGTACGCCGGACATAGCTACACTGGCTCTTTGCCTTATGGACTAAAATGTTCAGTTTGCTATACTTTTTTAATACATATAAACGCGATTTTTTCGTCGTTTTTCTGCTAGCAATTACCACTTAATGTTATACGAGACTCTTCTGGTGTTTTCAGAGCAGGTGATAAGTTTGCGATCTATCGAATTTTGTCTGTTATCGTAACTAACACCACCATAGCTTAGGAAAACTGGAAAATCAAAAATGCACTGTTCGTTCTGTTGAAAACCGGAATCAAAATTATAATTATTGCTCTCCTGTGAGAAGTTGGGCACTTGGAGTGCAGAAACCACTCGTTGGCAACGCCACTGATAGCCCCCCACTGCTGAGGGTTGCTTATAAGAAAGTTGTTAGTGAGTTTCACTCCCCAGCACATACCATTACTAATTTACCATCAAAACGAATGAAAGAACAGTGGGGAGATTGGCTTTCCCACCAGAGCAGTCTAACTCTCGACCTATACCATCACAACAGTGCTGCATTCCTTTGTGCCACTTACACTGGACCGCCGGATCACGCTGGGAAAGCTCCCCTGTCCCGAATATAGAAAGCCGTATTTCACTTTTCCCCTATCCATTATAGGAGTGAGCAATCTGAAATTTTTCAGAAAGTAGAAGCGATGAAATGCTGGCAAATACGCTGGCACAATGCCGGGGCATAAAATTTGACGATGTGCGATAATAACTGGAGGAGAAGTTTGCAGTCACAAGGACGCATTCCCAAAACTGATCATAACCCATGATGTTGGTGACTGCATCGGTGAATAGCAAAAAAGAGCATCACATCCAAAAGGACACTTCCTTCTCATAACCCTTTTTTACCGTTTTTTTTTTTTTGATTTTATATTGCGCCATTTTTATATCACTTTATAAAATACCAAAATGTTTGCACGTAGCATTTTGCAAATCAAACGCAGCATTATTTTTTTCACAGCATTATTTTTCAGCAATACAGCTGGCAACCTTTCCATTTGCTTTGACCAGTGGGTTGCGCATCTTCTGGAGGACAACCTGCTGGTCATTCTGATATTTCTCTTCATTTATTTCAGGCCATGAAAAGTTATAACAGTCTCGTTCATGTGAAATTTTATCGAGCGCCTTAACAGATTTGTTTTGTCGAGATATTTTCAAAGTGTGTTGGATGTTTCGGACTATTGGCAAGCCATTCATTTTTTTTGCGAAGCTATAACTTTCCCAAGAGTTTTTCAAACCTCAGGGAAATCAGCGGTAGATTGCATCTGAGAAAGCCATTTTCACCAGAGCAATTTCGCAAAGTTCTTATGCGGCACTGGCACCGCCGCAAATTTATTACTTGATTTCTGATTAGGTCACAAATTATCCAAAATGAATGGAATTGCCATTAGAAGCGTGTCTGATGGCTAATTAGTGGCAAAAATCATTTGCAAGTGGTACTTGATGGTAATTTAATGAGAGCCAATTGTTTACGTAATGCCAGAAAAGGGCGAAGGTTGAGCGCAGCATCTTCTGTTCCCCTCAAGCCTCACTAGGCCAGAATCCGATTAAATTCGAACGAATCAGATGGGGCATCTCCCACGAATTTCTGGATCCAAAACATCTGAAGTGGCTCTATTAAGGGTCCCTGGCAGCCGCATAATTAATATGCAAGACAACATTGTTTTTAGGAGAAAGTAAAACCGTTCAGTAGTTCCACCCTGCCTGACCTGTCCAC